CGGGATAGCGCGGGAGAGCCGGGATAGCGCGGGAGAGCCCGGGATAGCGCGGGAGAGCCGGGATAGCGCGGGAGAGCCCGGGATAGCGCGGGTTCCACCCGCGGGTGCCACCCAGGGACAACGGGGCTTCTACCCGCGGTTGCCACCGGAGTAGAAAATGGAAGTTGGGGCTAGAGGATCTCCCCGCGATCCTAGGCTGGGGCTTTGGCAAGCCCAGCTGTGAGGTTAGTGGCATCTTATGTAGCACGGCTGGGAAGTTTCACAGTGAAAGTGGCCTTTTTTGTGGCAATAGGGAGAAACGCCCTTGTTAAGCTTTCTGATAATGAATAATTGTGATGCAGTTACAGTTTATTTTGGAACCTTTTAAAATACGGCGTGTTAAAGACATTGCTGAGTTCTGCTGGGATGTAATTGTTGTAATTCATAGGAGCCCTCGGGAGGGGTGGTTAGACAGCACTGGATTTGCTACTGTGAAACAGCAGTGGCATGAAAATGTTACGTGTAAGCTAAGAAACACCACCTTTTTAACTCCAAATTATTGAATGTCCTTCCCCTCACCCCGAGGGAGTGTTTATAGGATTAGCAGGCAGGTGAAATAAAAAACTAATGACTCTTTAGACCGAGAGGTCAGGACTTCTTTTGGGGCTATATTTACCTTATTTTGCAAACTTTTTTTTTGCCCTGCCAAGTAGCTCTGATGTTTCAGCCTTTCTGTTGCTGAATATACTGCCTGAAGTCCCCTGAGCGGTGCCCTGCGGGATGGAGTCGAGTCCTGGGTGTTTGGCGCATCTGTTAAGACGCTCCAAAGCAAAGCAGGAGCAACGTGCCGTGGTTGTGCTGGTGTTTCTGAAGGTTTCTGCCTGGCAAAAGCGTCCTTGTTCCACGTGGGGGCCGGGGACAGTGTGGGGCAGGAGGCTGTGGCCTTAGCAGTGGCAATGCAGGCCTTAGCTTCTCCGGAAACATTAATAATTTAAAATTCTCAGCTTAGAGAACTTGTAAAATGGAGGGGTGATTGCAGTTTCTTAATTTTTAAATGACTGTTTTATTATTACTTTTTTCCACAAAGCATCAAAGAAGCTGCAGTGTTTGTTGCCCCACTATGCTAAGAAAGCAAAGGGAAGTCCTTGAACAGCCCACCTTGCCCTGAGAGAACCCAGGTCCTTGCCAGCACTGTTCATTCAGGGGATTTACATTCATGGAGCCTGGGTGGGTTGGTTTATTTTGGTTGTGATTTGGAAGAAGCTATAAAATACCGTTTTGAGATTCTTGCAGATTGACATTTTGCTATGGGAGAGCAAAAACACAGCTGTGAGCTGCCAGAGCGGCAGTAGAGTCTTCCCTCCCAAAATGTCTTGGGAACACTTGCCCGCTCCCCCTTATTCCCAATGTTTCGGGAATGTCTTGGGCAGGAATGGGTAGTAATGTGGTGGGGAGGGAGTTTGCTTGGATGCCAAGCACCATGAGGCAGGTTGAGTAAGGTAAGCATGGTGAGTGATTAAGAATGACAGCAATCCTGCACCGTTCGACATCTGTCCTACCTCCGCTTCTCTCTTCCCCATAAAATCCCTCCCCTGCTCTCGTGTCTTCCACCTGCACCAGCTGCCGGCTCCTGCTCAACTGTGTGAGGGACTTTCTGAGTCCCCCGCAAATGCACTGTGGCTGCCAGG